ATGGAAATTTCGGGAGGTCTCGTGCCCTTTGTGCCGACCGCATTTTAATTGCCCTACCTCTGTGCCTTCCTCTTCCTTTTTCGTCGTCCCGTAAGAGAGGGGAGGGGGGGGGGGGGAGTGAGGAAAGGGAGCGTGTCACGGCCAGACCTTCGCAAGCTCGAGGATGCCGTGAAATATGATTATTCGATTGGTGCCGCAAAGGATCTCCTTCTTAACACTATAAAGCGAAAAACTGGCACGGTGGCACCGAAGCGTTTAATTTCGTTTGATTTCAATTCCCTTCGTCTCTCGTTGTATCGACACTTCGGCGTTTCATTCCCTCGAAAAGCCGCGCGACACGACATAAAGTGATCAAACGAGCGTGCGCAATAAAGTTTGCAAAACGAATCATCGCAAATTCGATTGGCGAGAGGAAGCTCTGGGCGCTAACGAGCGTAGAAAACAGTTAGAATGCCGACGCTACTTTCGTTATGGCGCAAATGAGGCGCGAACGCGCGTATTAATATGGACAAACGCGCGTTCTCGAGCGTGGCGGACGCACCTTCTTTTCGCCATCCGGGAGAAAATAAAGAATGGAGGTGATATTTAGCCGGCGTCGTCCCTTTTGCGCGTTTCACTTGAGCGTCTGGCGGAGAGAGATAATTGCGTAATAAGAAATCCGTCAGAGAAACTCGCGACAGGGATCTCAAACAACAGACCTGCGCGAACGGCCTTCGCGGTTTTCCGGTTTTGTTAATTACGCTAGTCAACGGAAGTGTCACTGCCAGAGATTCTCCGGCACTTCCGCACGACGTCGACGACGACGACGACATACGTGTGTATAGGGCGTCATTGTTCTCCGAGAAATTTAATTTAAATCGCGGTTTAACACCGCACGGCCGTCCGACCGCCGACGACTAAATGCGGCGCTCTGTTAAAACGAGACGTAACTCCTTTCCCGTTATTAAGTAACGAAGTTTGCGCGCGCGTAATTAATTTTGAATCATAAACACCGCGGCGCGGAAAGCCGTGATGTTAAGTAGACGGGAACTCATAAACGATCGTAATCGTCGTACTTCGCAGGTGGATGGTTGGGATGATTATTTTATTCATAGTACAAACCACTTTCTGATAAAACATGAGTGAAGCAGGTGGACAAACTTCTTCGTTGTACAATACAAATTATTGATACAAACGCTGACGGTCGAAATGTCAGATATAAACGTTGGCAATGTTTTCAAAAAGTACGCAGAAAAAACGTTAGATTCAAGTAAGTTTTATTAATATATATTTATATATATATTAAGTAAATATATATATTACGTGATCCAAAATTTGTTAAGTAGTGGAGTAATTATTTGCTTGAATCTAGGGCTTTTTTCTGTGTGAAATTATTACAAATTAGACAATTAGATTGTTAGTGATTTGAGAACAATCGAATCAGTCGGAAGATATGGCGGGAAACGACGCGTCGGTTTGCCGGTTGTACACTTTCTACATTCAGCTGACATCTCGACGAGAACAATTCTTGTGAAGCATTCGCAATGGGCGCACGTACGCGCCACTCGAAAACACGTTTCGTCTCCAAGTGTCGGTGCGAAAGCAAATCTTGTAAACTCGACCGCGTCTTAGGATGTAATCTGAGTCGGTTTTATTGCCGACGAGACAATCTTGCGTGCAATTTACAGAGTCCTGCCGTCGTTGTAAGTCCCTCATAGTCTTACCTCTCTTCTTCTTTCCTCTCTCCCTCTTTTTTCCTTCCTTCATCGGATCCGGCGATTGCAGTCTCATAAAATGCTATTCGAGGGACTCGACGTCGAGTTACGGGTAACTTGCCGTGGGTTAGTACGCCGTAATGCCGCGATGTAATCCGCGTATCGAAAGCTCGTTACATGACCGACGAGACACTCCGAAGCGTAAAAATCCGCGACGATGACGTCACCCTTCAGACGCAACTGTTGCTGCCACAGCTTTTATTCGGTAGACGGCGCAATATTTCGCGTTTCGCGAGATATCAACCGCAACTATAAATCCTTCCGAGGCAGAAAATCGTATCGTAAAATATCGGCGCGCCCGCGTATTCGCGTGCGACGCGTTCGCGCGCGCGTTACTGTTTTCCGCTTGACGTCACATTTGCGATTATGCGCGAGTTCACTTTGAATTGAGCCCTTCTACGTGCGATAGACGCGTATCGTACGCGGGTTGCGCATATGATACGCGCGTAATATAAGGCCTCTTCCACCTCGGGATGTATCGCCCGTTGTTGTAGTTTGCGCGTCTCTATTACTTACGTTATTCGAGCTAATGTCGAACTAAACTGCGGATTATTTATAGCTCGAGGCAAGCGGAACTCCTCGTTGACCACGTTGATGGTGCCTCACTAATGAAAAGCCAATGATTTCACATTAGTGGAGGGACCAGTGATCCAGAAAAATTTCTTATGCGGTGAGACTGTGATCACTTTTAATACGTTAACTGACGCGCTGATTTTTATTGATCGTACAGAAGCTTAGCTGATAATCGAGTTACTAAAGAAATTTAACTTGAAATACAGGCATCTTTTGCATTATTTCATTGGTTCTCTATTAGTTCTGCATTCTATTTTTTTCAAATATAATTGTTTACATTTTAAGCAAAACCTTCGGAAATATTTGGAAAATAAAAATTTTGCTGTTGCGTGGCAAAATCATTTTTTCCGTAACTGCTATTCGATGCAACAGCGATAAAATAATTGAATTGGCACAACAAGATATGTAACAAAATTGGCAAATTATTTATAATTACATCAGAAACAGTTTTGTTGCCATGATAGAAAATATTCTCCGAGTGAATTCGTCCTTAGGTTAATTTCATATTTGAACAAAATAATGTTTTCCTACATTTGTTAATTTGTTCTTAGAGCAAAATAATTTGTAGATTCAGCGAAATAGTACAGCGAATCGCAATTACTACTCTTAACAGATTGTTTCGCTGACCACATAATAACTTACTGCGGCAGCAAATTATTTTTCTCCTTGTGCAGTCGTTGAAAATGTCGAAAACGAGACGCGAGTGCCACAATATGGCTAACCACCGTGCCATTCAACGTGTTAATCGTCGTGAACATACCGTTGTATGGAAGCCGGGCTCACTGAGCGAGATTCCATACTCTCCTCCGCGCGTTTCGCCCGCGCATGAAACGGATTCTACGCGAAAATGGAAAAGATTTTCATTTTCAGTTCCGGCGGTAAGTCGGCTATGCGAGCGCGCCCACGAGACTGTTTCAAATATCATTGCGCAGACACATGACAATATACGTATCGCGGCGGCTTCGCGCTAAGATCGGCCTTTCGCCACGAATTTCCCCGTCTCCCGGCAAAGGAGGCACGTACTTGCATAAAGTCGTTGTAACGCGCCGACGTAAATGCAATACGTGTTTCCGTGCGAAAATGCATGCATAGGGCCCGTCCTCTCGTCGACGACGAGCACCGGCGCGACGTCGACTTAAGCGAATTCCGGACGAGGAAACCCATCGTGGCGCGCCAGTTTCCTCGCGCGAAACCCTCATTTCGCGCGCTTGCGGGAAAATAAAACGCCGAGTTGCTCTCGCAAATTTCGATAACCGCGCTCATCGCCTCGAACACACGTGCGTTTCTGCGTGCACGCGCGACCGCACTTTTCCGCTTGCGCTTATGACCACCGTAAAAATGTAAACGATAATCGGGACGACGGTACGTTTCCTTTTTCCTCTTCCTCTTGCGCCGGTGACAAGCGGAACTCGGAATAGCTAGAACAGCGGGTGAAGCCGCGGAAACGTCAAACGGTGAACAAAGCCTCCAAAAAGGGAGTATTCCTATGAAAATCGAACAATCTCGGCCTCGCGTTGTCAGATATCTTGGACATTTACCAGGACTGATAAATTAAATTTCAACAAGACGAGCTCTTATTTCCGAAATTTATTCCATTTCCGGGGCTGAAATTTATTACATTTCCGAAATTCCCGATATTTATTGCATCTCCGAAATTTCCGATATTTATTACATTTTCTAATTCACCGAAACTGACAAGACTGAATTAATGTATCACGACTGCCCTGTGTATTCGACCTCATTAATATCGATATTAATATCCTTGCAATAAATAGCAAGCGACGTTATATTTCGATATCACGTGAAAATATTGCCGCTAATTAGTGCAAATCTGCCATCGCGCGCGAATGCGAAAGATCAAAGGTCGCGCTTTATGGGCTGCGACGACAGGAAGATTCCTGAGGGCAAGGATTAAAAGAGAGAGAACGCCGAGAGGGATTATTCAGTCGCGCCGCAATAGGCGGAGAAAGGAGGAGGAGGAGGATGCTCGATAAAAATCTGCATTATTGCTGGAAATACTCGTTAACGAGAGGGTCGCCGTGCGGAGCGGGACGGAAAGTGTCGTGATCCGTGGCGCCACTTTAAGTCGAACGACCGATTTTCTTTATACCCGATTCGGCTTTATCGTCGGCTCTTTCTCCTCCCGAAGCGAGCATTATAATTTTATACATCGAAATGCGCCTCGCCGTGTGGATTCGTGTATCGCGGCGCACGAAGGGGCCGCCGTATTAGAATGTAATATCGGTCGTATGCATACCTCGTCGATGGAAATGTAACATTCCGCGCTCCTGCGGGAACATTAACGTTCGAATTAAACCGGATTTCCTCGGTATCGTACGCGAATCGCGATCGTGCGAGATCGGAGAAAGAATAAAGACCCCGCTTCCCTCGACTCGCGAATTAATTGATATCAATCATCGATTGCGGAAGAAACGCGTGCCGTATATCTTAATGGCGATAAAGCACTGTGCAGGTGAAATCCACGCGTTAAAGTCTGGAGGAGCTTTCAACGTCCTCTCGAGGCTTCTCGGGATAGCTCGGGGGATCGTTGGCTGCCTAAAAAAATATCCATAATTCTTCGTTACCTGTCGATTTCACGCTATTCGTTATTCTTCGTTTTCTCGCGATACGGAATACTTTTCTGAACGAGGTCGTGTCAATGTGTGTTTGCAGTACCTATGGAGTCGATACAGGGGGTGGCGGGGCAGAAGGCGATTCTGCCGTGTAACATACAGCCCCGGGAGTCGAATGACGCTGTCTCCATGGTGCTCTGGTTCAAAGAGGACAGCGGCGAACCTCTGTACAGGTAAGCCACATTGATATTTATGAACGATGTCGCCCGGAGCGCTCGTTCGCCCGGCCTTGATGCAAATCTCTATGGCGCCGTAGATACCCGTACGACCTAAACCGTTCAAAGAACTCGCCGTAACGCGCGGATAACGCGCCGCGTTGCTCTCCATCGTAGAACGGTATCGGAAATGTTCTTCTCGAGATAATTCGTTATTACGCTCTCCCAATCGCCGTTTCGATGCTACTTTTTCGCGATGTTCGGCTTACGCTTGAATGTGATCCTTAACACTCATGAGTGAAAATCTATCGACGACTGGTAATACCGATACTACTCCTTCCTTGCCGGAATTTTGTATAGACTTGGGGGAATAAGAGTAAATATCAGAAGAAGAAACGTAGATTGGAAGAAAAGTGAGAGAAAATTGGAATAATAAATTATAAAAGAGAGAGAGAGAGAGAGAGAGAGAGGTCAAAATATTAATATAACTCGTGGAAGAATTTTCAGACGGATGGAACGGGTGATGATTTCACATATTCTGCTTGTGGTATTTTCTGGTATATAAAATTATGTCCCGTTACATTTCTTACACGAGAAGAAACGTATGGTACGTGTATACGCCCACAAGGCGATCGCGCGAATGTTGAATACGTCGTTTTGATTTTCTCATCGTGACGTTACGAGAGAGGAACACGGTGCGTCAGTCGCGAAATAACGCCGTTATCGAGTAAACGTCACGAATCATTTGCGTCGTGTTACGATCGCGTATCAAATTGCGGAATAAAATGATAATTTTGCAATAACTTGGCTTCGGTTATTACCGCCGTCGGAATTGCGCGGCCTTTATTGATATTGATGTGTCAAGTGGTAGCCGTGATATTACTCGCCGTTTGTTTTAATATGGATATCCGGCTGAATGATGTTTTTGAGCGCCATCGTGAAATACTCGTGGCTCCTATCGGAGAATTTTCTGTGAAAATAATACAGCAGTTAATTAAATTTACTGTGCAATTAAACGATTTCAACACTTGGCGCGATCTTGCATCGATGCACGCGAATACGTACGGCGGGCGCGAGTCCTGCGTGCACTTAATAATCGTTAGACGTTCATTTTCAACCGGGTCTCATTTATCTTGAACGTCCGTCCATGTTAAAACGTTATCGGGATTAATACGTACCTTGCAAATTATCGTTCTTTTCTTGGCGCGCTCACTAAGTAAACTTCTTCGAATGAATTTCCACTCGGGAAGCATTCACATGGAGTGAATTCTCCACTTCTTAAATCGTCACGTAAAGTTACTCGGATTTGCGTGACTCGGTTGTCACTCTGCTTTCTAAATGGAATCTCGCTTAAAGATATTTAGAAAGAATCATTACACCTACGCATCGGATTACACGTTTCCGCGCCGAAAACATCGCAATACCTCACGCCACCTCGTCACCTTTTACGTATTTCGAGCTCGCGATGACTTCTTCCGTTTCTTCACGAGCGTAAACCTCGTCGTGTACGAAGAAAGAATTTCCGGCTACACGGACTCAACGAGCGGATGTTGCGCTCCACCCTCCGATTTCCACGTTTCCGATCTCATTGCTTGTATATCCCGTTGGTTTACCGTTCCTACACGTCGTCGCGGTGTACACGAAAGCCAAGCCACTACGACGAAGCAAGGATTTCGTTAAGCCGCAAATCGGCGGCCCCACGTTCCATCCGTTATACGTTACTTCACTCGACAGCCAATTCGATCCTCGTAAATATCGTCTTTATTGAGCAACCCCATAAAATCCGGATCACCGGCCGAGCTCGAGCTCCGTTTCTACCGCGAAAAACACTTTGACCCCTTCCTCCGCACGTGGAACATATTCGTATCGCGTGTCTCTTTATTTATTCGATGCCACGCTTACCGGCGAATAAAAACGGTCAGGGATTTCTTCAGTCCCGTTGCCTATTTCGATTCTAAAATTGCCCCGCCATAGCCCGTCATCGCACAAATCAGTTTTTTAGTTGTTTCATCTCGATTAAAATGGTAGAACGTGCAGTGTTGAACTTTATTTGGCTCCATCGTCAATCATGTTAAATGTTTGACGTTTTTTTATTCGAAACTATGAATTGTTGACCATTAATTCTGATCCGATATGGCCAACATATAAAAGTTAAAAAGTTACGGGAAAACAATTACAAAGTCGCTGCTACAATCATCTATTTGTGACCTTACGAACTTTTGCAAGCACCTAATAAATATACGGATAAATACTCGCTGACGATTTCTTCCGCTCGATTTTTAAAGCGTAAAGTTCACGACGAACGAGGCTATATAGTGTTGCATCTCGAGTTTCTCCATCGAATTTTCAAATTCGACGGAATCCACCGGATCAATGTAGATTCAAAGTTTCGACCCGGACAGAGATGGACAGAATTGCAATCGTTTAAAGAAAAGAGAAACGGCGCACCGTTCGAAGGAACCGCGGGGTTTTATCTTGGCGGTGATATTTCCGTTTTAATGGTATACAATTGCGGTGTTCTGCGTGGTCGTAAAGTGTAGCCACGTAGCGGCATCGTCGAGCAACGAGAGCACGAAAACGAGCTTTTCCAAAACCATCCTTCGTCCGTGCGGCAACGGATCATTTCCTCGTGGGGATGCGAAGCTTTAAATTCTCTTAAAGTCTTGACGTCCGCCGAACGAGCAACGTTTACTACAAGCGAGTGCTCCTTCGCGAATAAAATGATACACCGACCTACGCTAAAAGCACAGGTGTGTGCGCGCGCGTGTGTGTGTGTGTGTGCATTCCCGGATAATCCATGAACCTTGATAAAAAAAATTAGGATTTACAATCGCCGCCGCGCTTGGGAAAATACGAAAAAGACAAATTGACGGTTTATTCCGATATTCGCGTGTTTATCGCGCTCCGAATTATCAAAATTAAATCGTCGCGCGCGAAATGTCGATCAATTACGACAATGACTTCGTAATGGGCAAACAGACACAATTCGCAAACGATGGAAAAATAAATAAAACGGAGAATTCAGAGAGGATTTCTCTCCCCCCCTCTCTCTCTCTCTCTCTGTCTGTCTCTCTTCACGCACGTTTACACGCGTCGGCGGATGATACGACGCGCGCACGGCGTAGTCACGCACTTAACGTCAGACGCATCGACTAACGAGAGAACGCCACTTGGCGAGGGCGCTTAACCGTGCGGGATACTCGTCGCGAATGCAAACAGGCGTGCCCTCAACCCCCTTAAACGCGGCCGACGTGATATCGTCAGCCGGGACGCAGTTTTACCCTCCCTGCCTCTCATTCTCTGCTCCAAACGCTGCGCCTCCCTTCGAACCTCTTCTCTGCCCCCGTGAAACGAACACGTCGTGATTGCACTTTCGACGACTGCGACGTAGACACGACTGCCGGTTCGACGATCGGAGTTTTACATTTTACAACGACACGCTTTCCTTCCACCCGACGAGATCTATCGCGTCGCAGCCCCGAGATGTTTCGTGGAAATATGAAATTTCAATTTGCCGCAAATACGATGAAATCTCGCAGTTGAAATTCTGGCTAGTTGCAGTCGATTAGCCGCGGCAGCGAACGAGAGTTTTAACGAGCAAAAGTTCCTTTACCTTCGTATTATTCCGCGAATGAAAGAGCGATCATTTTTCGGCCGTAAATTCGCTCCACCGCGGCCGATTATCGTGGCGGGATTATCGTGTCATTAAGAGCGTGCTAGCATACTTTTCGCAATTGGTCTTTCGTGCGTGTAAGCTCTATCGTATCGCCTATCGCAGGCGAATTACGATATCATTAACGGAATTTGAAACGCGCGCGACCGTGGGTTGCGCGCGGAAAATTCGTCTCTTCCATCGGTAAAAGGCCGATCGGGAGGAGCGATAATTTATGGCTAATTGTTGGATCGAACAATATGTGTTTACGTGCGATATTATAAAGCCGCGTTACATCGGTAATGTACGCCCGCGATATTATTGATGCGAATATTTACTGATGTATGTTTCCGCTTGATTATGGGATAATGCGCGTTTAATGCTTAATATGCGCATATGTAAAAAGTTGATGGGCTGTGGCGGGCGGCGGCGGACTGATCGATCGCGCGTCCCCGCAAATTGCCCTGCACACGAAGGCTCGTAAGATAATGACTTGACGCTTCGTAAATTCGTCGGATAAGAGAACTTCTCTCGAAATTTCTTGCGGTGAAATCTTTCACTCAGAACGAGCGAAAATCCACCCCCGGGATGATAGAATGAATATATCGCCATTTCCAGTCGCAAAAATGAATGTCCAACTCAAACTGTAGAGCGGATTCTCGATCTATGCGCGAGTCAATTTTTCAATCGATTCGAATGAATTCGTCCCTGTCGAACGGTGTGTGAAATATATCAAATTCACTCCTCAATTTCGAGCGAAACGAGTCACTCCACGATTTCGCGTCGAGGATTCACTCTGTACGAGTAAAAAGTCACTCGAGTTCCCAAGTGACTAGGACTGTCACTCTGCTCTTCGAGCGGAATTTCGCTGAGGAGGAAATTCAGAGAATATTTTGACGGCGTGTGTTTTCACGAAGACGAGGCTCTTCCCGCGAGAGACACGCCGAGTATCTTCCCATTGAGTCGCGCGTTCCTCGTTCCGCGGTTTCTCGCGTGCGGGCGTCTTTTGACTCTCGTCCGCCGCACGCCTCCTCGCGTGTTGCGGTTGGCAATAATGCGATTTGAAAAAGTCGTCGAGATATTTACCGTCAACTCGAGTAGTCCTGCGGGTCTAGGAAGAAAAAGAAAGAGAGAAAGAGAGAGTGGATGTTTGAATTAATTTTGAGTTAAAGGATGATTTCCCTTTGCGGGAGACGCGATCGCATTTGCATCCTTTTCGCCGCACTTTTCTCCGTTGAAAAAAGCGAGCGGGCGAGCCGTCAAGAAGAGCGCGAGTGCATCTACCTATGTAAATGTCGTCGTCTACCGCGTCGGAGTAGTTTCCTTCGTCGAGTATATCACGCGTTGTTCGTCTACGCCGTGTGTT